ATCAAACGACCCGGAGCCGAACGAGCACTCCCCGTGCTTTAAAGAGGCGTCCTTTTTATGCAAGGGTCTGAAGTCTCGTTGTCGGCTGTTTTGGGAGCTGTGGTGACAGAACCATCCAATCATTAAACCCAATTGTGGGCGGGCACCGTATATACACCGTAACAAGGGCTACTAGTAACAGGTGCATCGCTACTAGTAGCAAGAGTGCTACTAGTAACTTTGCACCTTGATTTCCCACATCTTCCCGCCGGTCTTTCGGGCCTTTTCTTCCTTCTGCCACGCTTGGAACAAGCCACCACACCACCGGACCGGCGATCGCGGCGACCCGATGCAGGCCTCCCTCATCTCCGAGCGCGCCAAGGCAAAGAGCAGGGATGCCCCAGCCTCGAGCGGCCAAGGAATGAAGGATCTGTGTCTTTGCAACGAGACGTGTGGAAAGGAACCGGCGTGAAAGGAACCGTTCCACCATATGCTGTTCTGGTCGAAAGGGCGACGATCCATGAAGTGCTTGCAGGTTGATGGAGACCGATCGCGACGTAAGCACTTCTTCGTGCCAGAACCCACAGAGATATAGACAGTGCTCAATGCCAAGAGGTCACGACGTAAGCACTGTCCGAACTGCAGGCAAGGTGCCATGTACAGATTCGTCCAAAACATGAGATCCTCGGTCTGCTCACGCTTCACAGACTCTAGAGCATGAGTTTCCAGTGCCTCGGAAGAATTACTGCAAGTGACAATATTACCTACTAGATCCTACTATATAGTTGTTTATGAAGAGGCTTCATATAAGGCATCTATATAAGGGAATTTACTACCAGGCAGTATTCCTTTGAAGGATGCTGGAAGGATGAAAAGCCATGCGTCCATTCCGTCCATTCCCCGGACCGCTCTGAGATCACCACGTAATGATGAACCTGGTGGGACGGTCGACTCCAACAGGTGGTTCCGTTCGACTCCGCGTCCTCCAGTCGAGCCTTACTAGTCATGCCAGGAGCTCCCCTCCGGACTCGTAGCGATGCCTTTTGCTCCGGACTCGTAGCGATGCCTTTTGCTCCGGACTCGTAGCGATGCCTTTTGCTCCGGGCATGCAAGTAAAACGAACTTCTCTAGAACTAAGAAGCTATTAGAAACAAGAAGCTATTAGGAACAAGTGCATCGCTTCTAGTAACAAGTGCCTTACTAGTAGTAACAAGAAGCTATTAGAACTAAGACTTCACCACCGGTTTGGTATTCGGATTTCATGGTCATCCTTTCGGTGCCATGCCATCCAAGTAACCATGATGGCTTCAGGGAGTATGAATTCCTCTGAAGCAGTTGTTGGTTCACCACATGGCTGAGTCCCACATGGTGGCCATCTCTCAATCTTTCTTTTGTGTGGTTTGGAGCTCTGACGGGGTATCCCTGGAATCCGGCTGAGCGCACAATCTCAGAGATGTCATTGTAGGTATCTGATTTCCAACTCCAGATTGAACAATTTATGGTGCAATGCGCTCCGCATAAAGGGCAAAGTACAACTGAATACGGATACACTGCCCCAAAAGAGCATAGCCACCATAGCCTCAGGAGTCGGCAAGACTGTCCTCCTCTAGCAGGTTGGAGCCTATCTTGGTTTGTTAGGGGCATAGCCTATATGCTATCGGGGGTTGAGTGCAAGATTGGCTTGACGACCAAACCTTCTTTTTGAAAGCTTGGCCCTCACAAACTGCCTTGACGTCCAAGAAACATTCGGCCCTCACAACCAGAATTCCATCCACAGTCGCTTCAATCCTAAGAACCTTCAGAAAGGGCTCGCTTCGGCCTGCCCTCGGCCTTCACCCCTTCACTGCCCTCGGCCGTTTCGCCTTTTTCTTTTCCGTCTTGCACCGAGCCTCAGTACGCGATGCACCACTACACACGGGGTCTTCCATCGAGACAGGAAGAGACCAACGTGGTAGTCAAGATTGATCCACGAAGAGAATCTATCCATCAATTCATCGAATGGATCTATCGTCGAATGCCAAATTTCTCCATGGATATCCATGAGATATCCATAGATCGATCTCATCTAGCTCTCAATCTGCTGAAGAATTTGGGTCTCCAAATCATCACGTCTCCAGCATCCCCAGCTTTGAGCCATCCCAGGTCTCGCTGCGCCCACCCACCAGGCCTTGAGGCGTCCCTGCAAGCCACTGACCACACCTGATGAAGCGCGCACGTGGATGGAGCGCTCGTGGTTGGAGAGACAAAAAGATATCATTTAAAAACAAATGGCTGAACAACCGTGAGGTCAGTGAGGTCCAACTGATCATTGACATGTTTGCTTTGAAGTTGCACTGATTAGTTGGAGCACCACTAGTCGTACCCTGTGCCGTACCCACTTACAACTAGAAAACGTCCTCTTCTGTGGTGCTGCTATCCCGTTACAAGCCGCCTTCGGTGGGGCAAGCAAATGCCAGCGCAAAAGCTGAATCAAGTGAAAACCTGCTGTTTGCACTACCAATGGAACCTCCACTTGCCAAAAGTATACCACTGCGAACAAAGGATTGTATGAGCCGGAGACCATGCAAGTCACTACGCACATCTCTCCTGCAGGTTTGTTGCAAACAGAGGATTTAGGTGGAGTATGATTCCTGACACGATCCTCCCAAGAAGCAACCAGGTGTCCAGGCCATCAAAGAAGAGTGAGCTCAGGATGAAGAAGATCCCCATCTTCGTGCTGGCACCCGTCTTCTGCAGGCGATCATGCGCCGCAACAGAGGTTTGCAAGGTGGCAAAGCACTTTGCAGGATAAGCGTAGTACATCTTTATTGAGACACATCACAATAGATATCCCGCATCCCCAAAAGCAAAAATACTGAACCAGCGATAACCAGCGAAGCTTCAAAGCTTCACAAACCCAACCAGCAAGTCCTTGTGTCTGCCTTCAGCAAAGGACACAAGTCCTCCACAGCTCAGACGTTCCGAGCGATCAACGCACAGACAAAACCCCGAAAGATGTTTCCTCCGCTTCATCACAGGATCACAAACACATTTACAAACTATAGGCACTGCAGGCTTTGGACCGGGAAAAGACTCGTCTTTGGGAACAAGTGTCAACAAAGATATCACAGGCTTCCTCTCATCATCTCTTCCGCTCCTGTCCCCGACACGATGGCTGCCGCTTGCCCCAGCTCCGCCGAGCTGAAGCGGGCGGAGCCCAAGACCAGTGAGCCAATCCTCACGGCGCACGAGCTGTGTGGTGGGAACCCCAACGGACTTGACGGTTGGGATGAACATGCGCAGGCTTGCCTGGAGAGGGGGTGGTGAGATGTGGTAAGAGTACCCTTCTCGGTAATCCTAGAGTCCAATGCAATTTCAGTCCAAACCACCATCCATTCAATCAAAGCCACATCACCGGCACCATCTTCGCCGATTTCGCCATAGTCGCCACAGGAAAAGATAGGCCCACAGCCAGTGAGGCGCTCATGCAGTACTTCCTCAGTTGAAACGCCAAATATAGCACACCTGTGGTGCGCAAGAGCTCTTATTGGTCAATGGTCTTTTTGTATGATGTGCTGTCAACTTGAGTGTTTTTAGACTGTCATGTGGGGATACCGCTTTGACAATCCGATGGTAACCTCACTGGCATTTGGGGAGGTCTGCGGCAAAAGCCTGCTAGTGAACTTGATGGGTGTATTGCAAGAAAACAGTTCAAACAACTTGGAGTGACTTGTCATGCATGCCTTGTTCCACATTTGACCTATGCAGTCTGTGGCAACAGCTATTTGTGGATATGACATGCCTGCTTCTGGTTCCTCCTTCGACCCCAGAAAAATCAAGCTGTTCGATCAAATCAAACCATAAAAACGAGATTCGGCCAATACCAATCCAAGAATCCCCAGCACCTGTCCGACACCAGAGAATAGTAGGAATACCTCGATGCGGCTTTGTCAGTGGATTTTGCAGCGAACTCCCAAAAAGATGTCATGCGAAAAAATGCGACCTTCTTTAGAAAATAGTGTCTCGCTTCCAGCAAGTTTTGGCTGGCCTAAGCTGTTTTATTCAGAGAGGATTGTACAGTTCTGAGCTCCATGACAGTGTGGCTTTCTTCAAACCGGTAAATACACTGACATGATCTCCACCTTTCTTGAAGCTGCTTCGCAATCCCAGTATCTTAAAACCCACATGCTTTCTCCTATCGTCTGATCATTGAGCGCCAAAGTGGAAAAATCCACAACTGCTTGCCTAAGTACCAAGTTCCACTGCACACATTCCCTCACCAAACCCTCTGGCCTGCGGCAGCGCAGTGTGCCCTTCAAGGCAACGGCCCAAGGCACCTTGGAGCGGAACCAAAACCACAAGAAACACCAAATTGGGAGAAGTCTTCATGAGATTCTTTGGGGCAATCCCCAGTGCCACTGAACCATTTGGATGGTGAATTGGAAGGCGAACTCGCTTTGGAACCTGCGTTCGCGAAGGATGTCGTTTGACGGACTGCGTGCAAGGGAATGAGAATGAGTTGGTTTGAGCAATGCTTCCGCTACCGAAACTGCATTGTTACAAGACACTTTGGCAGGCTCCATGAAGTGTGAGCTGAAGGTCTTTTTGGAGGGCCCTGCCAGATGGTCTGGGAAGAATCTTCTCGCTTGGCTGACCACCAAGGATCAAGTAGGAATCGACATGATGGTTGTATGTAGACCCTCAGTTTTACATTTACTGCTCAGATTAAGCAACTGCAAGAGCCTGTGAAATGTCTAGAAGGGGATGTAGAAGGGTCTTGCAACGTGCAGCAGGAGCTGATGATTCCGAACAACCCCTGGGAAATTGCAAAGAACCTCGGACTGGAGCAGCACGCTTTCTTCTAAAGCTGCGACTGGGCAAGTCTTCAAGGTTGCTAGAACCAGAGGGGCATAGGGGCACCACTCACAGCATCAGTTCCATGATATCTTTTTCATGACATCCGCCCACTTGTTGGTGCCCTCAGTCGCCTTTCTGGTTGCCCTTCTGGCTATCTCTGCCCCTCACTCAGCTGTGTAAGCCTCTCAATGGCACTTGACCTTGGCCTCACGCTGCTTGAGCTCCGGCAACATGAAGAGTCGGTAGGCTGGGACCACCACGAGGCATAGGAAGAGTGCCAAGTAGACATCGACATTGGGACCCTCCATGGCATGGCCGATCGCATGCATGCCGATGGCGAAGCATACCTGTTGAGAGAGAGAGAGAGGGAAATGGCAGCCATGGATGTTTGAAAGTGGAACGATGCAGGTTGCTTTGTTCAACTTCAGCAGCGTGAAACCATGAAACCCAACAACGACTTCTTTCTGGAAGTGTTTCCTTTCAACACCAAGAACGATTCATGTTCAGTTCGCCTGTAATCATCACTCCCCCCACACGCTCGCCTCCCAGCTGATACCAATCAGCAAACCATGGGCCAAGATAATGTGTTGGATGATGTGCACCGCTGAGTCCGCGTCGCCACTCGCCTTCAAGTAGTCGGCCACCTGTCCAAGACAGAGACAGCTGGTGCTTCGTTCCACCCCAGCTGTGGAGAGGTCCATGAAATAGGCATTTGAAATAGGTTCGATTATTGATTGGTCGATTCTTAGCCTATATAAACCTCTTCACAAAGACTTTTGAAGCTTCGCAAAAAGGAAGTGGAAACTACTGTAATTCCATCCTTTTGTTTGATGGTACCTCCATTTGCCCGTTTGGCTCCAAGTTGCACCTTGTCCAAGGACACCAGCATGACACATGACAGGGCGGAGACCACCAGTGCGACGATGAGATGACCGATGAGGTGGTGTTCCAGGTGCGGCAAGAAGGCGTTCAGCATGGAGATGGAACAAGAAAGCATACCCCAGGAGAAGCTCCTGAGGGCACTCTCCAAACATCTGCCAAACAATTGCTGACTCTTGCCACAGCATCGCCCCTCTGAAAGAAGGTTGGAAGTTGAAAAACTTGATCTAAGTGCTCTGCAAAGCAACTGTTTCCCAGGCCCCGCGCAGTGAGTCGGTCAAAATGTCCCATACCATGATGGGGACCTGCCTCCGGCCACCCCTCCCACCATGATCGATCCCAGTTTGATGCGGCCAAAAGTCATGATGAACGTCTCTGAAAGGATCAACAAGCCGCGCAAGCGGATGTCATCTTCCTTGGGCACTGCTGGCACTCAGGATGAAAAGATTCAAGAAGAGAAGAAAGCACCTTCCAAAGGGTGTTTTGTGCACAGCTAAGGGTTTCTGCACATCCTTTTGGGGGGGTTCCAGGGGTTTCGCCAACTGGCAGGGTGTAGTCAAATAGCACATAATTACTGTCCAACCAAAGAACCTTGGCTCTTCAACGTCCGCACTCAAGATACCCAAGACAACAGCAATTTGAAAAAGAAAGAAGGGCTCTTAGGTTGGAGGCCATCGCTGTTAGGTTGGAGGCCATCGCTGTTAGG